GGTCTATAAGAAAGTAGGCTGAGCAACTCATGAGGAGTAATCCAGTAAACAGCAACCTCCCACCACTACCCCATGGCCTCTGCATCAGCTCCTGCCTCCAGGTTCCTGCCTTGTTTGAGTTCCTATCCTGACTTCCTTCAATGATGGACTACAATGTGGAAGTGTAAGCCAAAAGAACCCTTTCCTACTCAACTTATTTTTGGTCACGGTATTTCATCACAGCAATAGAAATCTGAACTAAGACATTTGCTTTCTATTGCTGTTTTAAAACACTGGCCAAAAACAATTGGGGAAGGAAAAGGTTTCTTTGGCTTACACTTCCATGTCACAGTCCATCCTGCAGGGTAGTCAGGGCAGGACCCTGGAGGCAGGAACTGAAGCAGAGGCCATGGAGGAACATGGCTTGCTCTTCAGGGCTTGCTCAGTCTGCTTTCTTATACAACCCAGCGCCACCAGCCCAAGGGTGACACTGCCCACAGTGGGCTGGACCCTCCACACATCAGTCATCAATCAAGAAAATGCCCTACAGACTTGCCTACAGTCCAGTCTGATGGAGGCATTTTCTCAGTTGAGGTTCCTCTTCCTAGATGACCCTACCTTGTGTCAAGTTGACAAGAAAACAAAAAACAAAACAAAACAAAACTAATAAGCATAGTGAGCTTGAAGCCAACCTGGATTACATGAACCCCTTTCTACAAAATATATGAACAAATACATGTTTTTATAATGAAGTCAAAGACAGAGTATAGAAGTTCACCCAATGCAATGGGAGGCTCCAAGACTTCCTGATGCTCAGATTCTTGTGTAAAGGCTACAAAGAGTAGAAACTACAGTTGAGGGCTGTGGGAGAATGGACAGAGCACAGCTCAGTATCTGGAACAAGGTCCACACAGTCATCCCCCTGCGGAATATGAACTTGATCTAAGATCTGGAAAACTTGAAAACACAGAGTTCTGGTCAGTTACTGTCCTGGTCATTGTGATAAAAATACGCAGAACAAGCAATTGAGGGAAGGAAGAACCCATCCTGATCAGGAAGGTGTAGTGGGGGAGGCATGGCCGTGGGAGCCCGCTGATACACAGACAGGTCAGGGAGCACAGACTGACAGGAAATACGATCAGGCTGTACACCTCAAGGCCTGCCCACCTTCTCACCCCTCAGAAGCCTACTTCCTCCATTGAGGCTCTATTTCAAACCAAATGTTCCATCATCATACAAAACAGCAACAGCGCCACCAGCTGGGGATCAAGCATTCAAGAAAGCCAGCCGGTGCAGGACCTTTCACATCCAAAACAACACGGTGGTTTTCTCAGGGCCATGGGATTGTATGTGATTTTGACTCTTCTTCTTTCATACGAATGTGTTCAAAATATTCCCCCCATTCTTCTTCCCCCATTCCCCTCCCTCATCTTTTCTCTGTTCCTATCTCCCTTGCTTCTTCTGTTATTCACACACTCGTGGACCCAGGCACCCAGCAACCCACACCCTGCAACGTCATGGAGAAGAACAGTGACACAAAGTCTTGAAACTCTGATAGCAGCAGAGACGGGGCTGTCTGGCCTATTAGGAGCAGAAAAGAAAAAGACAAAACAATTCAAGTGTTGAGTCTGACAACAGAGCCATTTCTAAATGCAGCAGGCCCTCGGAGCTCTCCTTGGAACATTCTATCATCTTTACCGAAGGAGGCGATAAAAAGTTTTGTTCTCCCTGGTCCTAGGAACTAGGAAACAACCTAAGCAAACACTGTGATCAAAGAAAAAAACCAGATTTTTCTTAGCATATGTTTGAAGCCCCTTATGTTAGAAGCAGCTGGAGCAATCTCAACAGTCTCCCTCCTCCCCAATAATCATTTCTACATTTTCCACAATAACGGGTGTGCCCTTTTCTATTCCCTGCTTGAGACAATCCTAAAATACTCCATGAAAAATGAGCTCATTGGCCACGATACTGTTTATAGTTCTTCTCATTTTATGAGTGAATAAATTGAAACAGTAGGCCTGTCCAAGTTATGGGTCCCAAAAGATATGCCAGCCTGTCCCGCCTGATGGAACACTCCTATTCCAGAAATATCCACGATGAGCTTCAGCCTAGCCAACCATCCTATTAAAAGGCATCTCCCCAGTGTGTTAGGAGACGCCATATGGAGGGAGGACCAAGGGACAGCCAGCAGAGACAGTGGCCACACACCAGGTGGAGCCAGGGAGGTGCAACCACCGGAGGAGGAATGTTGACAGCCACCAGCGGCAAGGAGCCAATAGGGATGCCCAGAGGAGTGGTTCTCAGCCTGTAGGTCTTGACCCCCAGCCTATCCAATATTTACATTACAATTCATAACAGTAGCAAAATGACACTTATAAAAAAGCAACAAAATAATTGTATGGTTGGGGGGGGGGGTCACCACAACATGAAGAACTGTATTAAAGGGTCTCAGGGTCAGGAAGGTTAAAAAAACCACTGTTCTAGAGTGTCCAGAGGGGGCGCTACCCAGATGACACAGTGACACAGCTTTATTCTCTAGAACCCAGAAGGTCTCTCTACAACAGAAAGACTCCAAAGCAAGCCTATGTGTAGAAAAGGGCTCAGGTTTTTGGTTTGTTTGTGCTAGGATTAAAGGCCTGTACCATTATACCCAACTTCAATCCTCCTTTTAAAAACACAGCCTTAAGCCAGGTGGTGGTGGTGGCAGCGGCAGCGCACGGTTTTAATCCAAGCACCTGAGAGGCAGAGGTGGCCAAATCTCTGAGTTCAAAGCCAGCCTGGCTACACAGAGAAACCCGGTATTGAAGAGTTTTTCAATAGAAACCAAAGCAAACAAACAAACAAACAAAAACCCCACACTTTTAATCCCAGCACTTGGGAGGCAGAGGCAGGCAGATCTCTGAGCTTGAGGCCAGCCTGGGCTACAGAGTGAGTTCCAGGACAGAAGCACTGCATAGTGAGACCCTGTCTCAAAAACAAAAACAACAACAACAAACAAAACAACAACAACAACAACAAAAAAGAAGCATCTCAGAAAGTTATCTAAGCTGGCCTTGAATTTGCCATCCTTCTGCATCAGCATCTTGACCAGCAGAAGGGTTTATAAGTGTGTGTCATCATACTCAGCTTGCATTAACTGAGGTCATATACATTTTCTTTTATTTATAGATTTAGATTATGGTGGCAGAGGGGACTGCAAACCTCCTCCCCCATTTTTCTCTGATAAATGAGCTTCACTGAAGGTGACAGTGGGTCCCACAAGGGCAGCATTTCCCAGCTTCCTCGTATCCTCAAAGCACCCATGAAGTCATTAAAAAAAACACCATCACGGATCCTGTGAATTTCCAGGAATATGCCTTAAAAATGAAATGCAGTATTCTGAGGGCATCATTTTTTTTTCCTTCTTTCCTGCTGCCTGGAATATGAACGTGATGGTTGATCTCCAAATTCAAAGATTAATTCTGGGAAGCTCAGGACCTGAGTTCGAATCCCAGAACCTACACCAGACAGTTCATAACCACTTGTAACTCCAGCTCTATAGGATTTGATACCCTCTTCTGGCCTCCACAGGCACCTAAACACACACACACACACACACACACACACACACACACACACACACACAAGCAATAAATTTTTTTTTGAAAAGAAAAGTTAGAAAAGAAACGGGTAATTCTCTATAATAAATAAATACAAAAATCTTCCCTTGCTCCCTCCCTGTGGAGAGGCAGGACAACTGGCCCCACTCTCCCCTGCAGGGCAAGCTTTGTCCATTGGCAAATCAGAGGCCAGTGTGTTGCAGAGCTGGACTGGGAGAATCCACACAATGGTCTCGGGCATCTACCCTTTCCCCTCTGAAGCTGTTGGGGTGTTTTCTCGGGTAGGAAGAATTTGATTTCAGGGGTTATTCAGTTTAAAATATTGGTTCTATAATATTGCTCAGCTTTGCCGGGCGGTGGTGGCGCACGCCTTTAATCCCAGCACTCGGGAGGCAGAGCCAGGCGGATCTCTGTGAGTTCGAGGCCAGCCTGGGCTACCAAGTGAGTTCCAGGAAAAGGCGCAAAGCTACACAGAGAAACCCTGTCTCGAAAAACCAAAAAAAAAAAAAAAAAAAAATATTGCTCAGCTTTAAATACTGCACATGTCTTTGTGAAACACCATGAATTCACCCACATGTCATGTTGTCAGAGGGCTCTGTCTTGTCCCACCCTTCCTGCTTACTGCTGAGGTACACTTAGTTCAAGAGGCTCTCAGCCCTGGGCTCCCCACAAACCTAGCCCGGCTTCACATCATAGTCCTCAAAAGCTGCCTTTCTGGGGTTGAGGATATGGCTCAGTGCACAGAATAACAGGCTAGCAAGCAAGAAATCCTGGACTGTTGGAGTCTGCCTTTCCCCTCCCTTCCTCAGAATCTTGTGGCAGCAATCCTCCTGCCTCAACCTCAACATTGCTGAAACTGCAAACCTGCATCCCCGAACCAACCTGGCTCCATTCTCTTCCTCTGAAAGTTCACTGAACTTAGTTCAGGGATGCCAGGGTCTAAAAAAGGATGAACTGCTTGCCCTGTGCCCTAAGGCTTCAGAGTCCAGGGCATCCTGGGGTTCAGGGTCCCCTCAAAGATGAAGTTGTGCAGAGTGAGGCTCGAACCCCCTCTCTGTATGTGGGCTTGCACCTCACATCTCACCTGGTCCTGGTGTGTGTGTGTGTGTGGGGGGGCTGTCTCAGTTTTCTAGCCACCAGGTTGCATGTGGGAGCCCACTCAAGGCTACCATGGGAGGAGACACAGGGCCAACTGTGTTCTGTGTCCCCAGAACAGTGGACACCCCTCCACTTCCTGAGCTCGTGGATGCCTGACACCTGGGCTCGTGACCCCTCCCCACCCGATAGTCTTCTTAGGTCCCCTCCAGTCCCCAGCCCTCCCTTTTCCCTCCTCTCCCCTCCTCCCTCCCCTCCCCTCCCCCTCCCTATCTTTCCCTCTTTCCTTCCCTCTTACTCTCCCCTTTCCCCTCCCTGCTCCTGAACCTGCGGCTCCGCCTAGGAGCGGCGGGCGGGACAAGAATCCACCCGGACCCTGCCGCGGCCCGGGGCCTGGTGGCTCAGTCCTTGGCAGCAGCGACATGCGGCTCCTGTTCCTGGCGGTGCTGCGGCCACACACCGGCAACGCGGTCACGGCCGAGCGCCTGCGGTATGTTGTGGGGCCTGAGCATCCCTCGCCTGGGGATGCCGGGGGCTGGGCCGGGCGCCGGAGCCGCGCGTGCACAAACGGCTGGGCGGTGGGTGCAGGTGCCGCGCGCGCGCGCGCGCGCGAGGGGGGCTGCAGCTTTGATCCCAGATGCCGCTACCCTATCTGGCGATTGTGAGTGCCCTAGGATGCGGCAGAGGGGCAGCCTGGGCCAACGCTGCCAGGGTTGGGGGGGAAGACTCAGAGGCTCGGCAAAGGCCTCGATGCAGAGGTGAGGTTTGGGTAGAGTGCCTTGAAATTCGAAGGGGGGCCCCACGTGGCTGGAGAAAGGCAGAGAGTCCTAGTGAAAGGCAGACCTACATGGTTTGAGAAGGGCAGAGTCCTGGTGGATGGTCCAGCACGTGCAGGGATCCAGGGTCCGCGTTCTGTAGCTGCTGTTCCCTGCCAGTACCTCCCATCTGGTTCTCTTCTGAACGCTCAGCTTATCTTGTTAGGTCTTTTGGCTTTGTGTTTACCTGGGACGGAAGCCTGGTGTCAGGACAAGGCGGGGAAGGCGGGTCCATTCGCCTCTGGCCATCTGGTTGCCTGGATCAAGCAGGGCTGGGCTGTATCAGGGGAAGGTAAATGCTTATAAGCCCACTGGCCTAGAAGTTAGCTTGCTCTCCCCTGTTTTACCCCCCCACCCCCACACACACTTCACTTGCTTCATGAAATTTCCCAATGGCTTTCTTCTCTGTGGGTCTGTTTCCTCATCATGGGAAAGAGCCGTTGAGGCTACTCCAGCCCTCACAGGCCACATTCAACTAGAAAATGTTACAGTTCCTCTCAAGAACCAATGGAGGGTGGATGCTTTCCTGAAATATACTGGCAAAAAGACGAGTTTGGATTTTGAGCTTCCCCTCGATCTAGTTCAGTCACTCATCTGCCTCTCTGTGGACTGGTTTTAGACAGAGCTCTTTGCAGTGAAAGAGAGACAAGGAGAATAAACAGAGAGGTAAATCATTCCAGAGGGTGATTGGTGCTTTCAAGCAACTGAAACCAGGCTGGGAGTGCGGCTAAGTTGGTAGACTGTTTGCTAAACAAGCATTCTTGAATCCCTGGGTTCTAGTCCCAGCACCCATAAACTAGGTATGGTGGTATAAGACTATAACCCCAGCATTTGGAGGTGAAGGCAGAAAGGATCAGAAATTTGAGGTCATCCTCTGCCACTACCAAGTTCCAGGTCGGATTTGAGATCGTATCTCAAAAAAACGAAATAATATGACTTTTGTGTTGGAGGGGCTCCTTCAGGCAATAGGGTCCAGGCTGTGCTCTCTGTAGAAGGAGCATGCAAGCTAAGACCAGGGGAGAGGCGTCCACCCAGACCTGGGAAGACAGGTCTGGAAGGGCTAACGATAACACAGGTCCAGAGGTTCTGTTCTGAGCTATTCAAGGTATAGAAGGTTGGTGAGAGTCATCCAGCTGTCTTGTACACATGGTGGGAAGAACAGATTGTGTTTAAGATAAGCATTTAAACGTTAAGCACATGTTAGCTAACATTTGATTCCATGGGTGGGAAAAGGTCCCAGGTTCTCTGGAACGGACTGATCACTGATTAACGAAACAGTAGAAAACATACGCAAATTTATGATGTGCGAGGAGTACAATTGCTCATTAACCCAAAAGTGTGCATGCCCCTTTCTATGAGGGAAGAGGGCCTGGCGAATGTGTGCCATTCCTAAGGGGACTAGTAAATAATTTGGGGGAGGCCTTGGTGGCCTCAGAGCAGCTCACATTGCCCTGGGATGAAGTTGTAGACCCACAGAACAGTGAATGGCTGTAAATGATTCCTAGTACTATTGGACAGTGCCAAACTCAGACACAATGGGATATGACAAAGGGCTCTTACGGGACTTGGGGATCACAGTGGGAGCTCCCCATAAGTGACAACCTGTCCTTAATAAGCCAATTAAAGGCATCAGAACCACCAAGTTCTACTTACTCAGTCACATGTGTGACTTTAATTTGTGTGTGTGTGTGTGTGTGCGTGCCTTAGTTTTTCAAGGCAGAATTTCTCTGTGTAGTCACAGCTATCCTGGAACTTGCTTTGTAGACCAGGCTGGCTTTGAACTCAGAGATCCACCTGCTTCTGCCTCCTGAGTTCTGGGATTAAAGGTGTGCCTGACTAACATATATATATTTAAATTGTGTGTGCTTGTATGTGTCTGTAGGGATATGTGTATGTGAGTATAGATTTGCAAAGTGGCCAGAAGGGGTCACTGGGTCCCCTGGATCTGATTTACAGGTGGCTGTGAGTCTCCAAACATAGGTGCTGCAAAAACAGTTTGTGCTTTGAACCTTTGAACCTTTTCTCCACACCTGAACCCCTCTTTTTAACGTGCGTACTGGGGTCCATATGCTTATGCAACAAGCAGTCTTCCTCCAAATCCACTGAGCCATCTTTCCAAACCCCGAGGTGTGACTTTTGGCTTGGAACTTCAGTTTATATCCCGTAGCAGAGGATTTCTTATGGCCAGTTTTACAAGAACGTGTGTGTGTGTGTGTGTGTGTGTGTGTGTGTGTGTGTGTGTGTGTGTGTGTGTGTAATTTTCAGGTTTTATGATTGGTTTCGGGGTTGGGGAGAGCTCAGATTTCTACCATCACCTCGGGAAGGAGAAATTCTCTCAGTGTTTTGTCCTTTGCTTGCTTTGCATGAGAAAGGGAACAGGGCAGGAGAATAGGAGGTCAGCCTCAGAGGCCTTACATGGGGGTGTCATTTTCTGGGTCCCAACATCAAAGTGTCAGCAGTGCCACGCCAACAAACCTGCTGTAGTCAGGGCTGAGGATAAGGCTAGAGATGTAGGCAGGACTCTGGTCACCAAAGACCAAGAATAGCCACAAAAGGAAGGTAGTGATAGCTGCATGTATGATGGCAGGTAAGAGAGACTGAATCTGTGGGTCTCGTGTGTTTAAGCAATGGGGACGGCTGCAGACGTGGCTCAGTTAGCAGAGTGCTTGTAGCTCTGATGGTAGAGTGCTTATGACTCGGTTGGTAGAGTGCTTGTGGCTCAGTTGGTAGAGTGCTTGTGGCTCAGTTGGTAGAGTGCTTATGACTCAGTGGATAGAGTGCTTATGACTCAGTGAATAGAGTGCTTATGACTCAGTTAGTAGAGTGCTTGTGGCTCAGTTGTCAGAGTGCTTGTAGCTCTGATGGTAGAGTGCTTATGACTCGGTTGGTAGAGTGCTTGTGGCTCAGTTGGTAGAGTGCTTGTTGGTTCAGTTTGCAGAATGCTGGCTTAGCAGGCATTAGGCCTTGGGTTTGGACCTCAGCCTTGGGCCAACTTATGTGGTACTTATCTCTGATCTCAGCACTCTGAATGTGGAAACCTCAGAAGTTTATGGTAATTCTCTGCTATATAATGAGTTCAAGGCCAGTCGGGGCTACATGAGACCCTGCCTATAAACAAACAAACAAACAAGCTGTGTGTGGAGGAAGGCAGATCTCTGTAAGTTCAAGGCCAGCTAGCTGGTTTACTTAAGTGAGTTTCAGGCCAGCCAGGGCTACATAATGAGACTCTGTGGAAAAAAAAAAAAAAGTTAAAAAAAGAAGCTGGAGATATGGTTCGGCAGTTAATAGCACTTGCCTCTCATTCAGAGGGCTGAGGTTCAGTACCTACCACCCACAACAGGAAGCTCACAATCAGCTGTAACTCCAGCTCTAGGGGATCTAATACCAGCATTAGTCTCCTTGGGCACCCACCTACTTGTGCACACTCGTGCACACAGGTACATACACATAAATAAATATATAATATATTATAATATAATTAAAACACAACTTTAAGCCGGGTGGCAGTGGCGCATGCCTTTATCCCTGCACTCGGGAGGCAGAACCAGGCAGATCTCTGTGAGTTCAAGGCCAGTCTGGTCTACTGAGCAAGATCCAGGACAGGCACCAAAACTACACAGAGAAACCCTGTCTCAGAAAACCAAAACAAACAAACAAACAAAACCCCCTACAACTTAAAAAAAAAAATCGTAGAGTCAGAAGCCTAGAGCAGAGGCTCCTACTCTGGTCCCAGCATTTAGAAGACGGAGATAGGAGGATTTCAGTGAGTTCAAAGTCAGCCTGGGCTACATAGACCTGTCTCAAAAATAAATGTAATGCGGAGAACAGACCACTTCGTCGTCACGGTGGAGTTAGTGACACAGGAAGTGGATGTGATGTGAGCAGTGTCCTCAGTCACTGTGTCCAGCTAGGACCGGGCCAAGGCCTTCAAAGAGCCCCTCCTCTCATGGAAAGGTGGCTGATTCTCAAAAATCTTTCAATAGTTCAAGTTAATCTTAATACAGCGACCTGGATCAGTCCCTGCTTCTGTGGGTAGCAGGAGTCTTCTCCCCCTCCCTCCAAACCTCCCTTCCCCTCTTTGGCAGTCCTAAGAGACTAGGAATCCAGAGTCTCGTGGGTGCTAGGCAGACAGTTTACCACTGAGCTACATCTGCAGCTGACCCCTTCTTTTATAATGAAACCCCAAAGTACTCCATTGTAAGGGAAAGGCTTTCTCACGGCAGTACTTAAATTGAGGAGCTGAGACAAAGAGGACAGGCCAGAAACCCAAAGACATTTAGCTTTCCATTCTGGGCTTTTCTAGCACTTTAAAATTTGTTATTCTTTTTAGTTTTTTTCTGGGTATGGGCATCAGATCCCCTGGAGCTGGAGTTACAGATAGTTGTGAGCCACTGTGTGGGTACTGGGAACTGAATCTGTATCTTCAAGAGGAGCATGCCGGGCGGTGGTGGCGCACGCCTTTAATCCCAGCCCTCGGGAGGCAGAGGCAGGCGGATCTCTACGAGTTCGAGGCCAGCCTGGTCTACAGAGCGAGATGCAGGACAGGCACCAAAGCTACATAGAGAAACCCTGTCTCAAAAAACCAAAAAAAAAAAAAAAAAAAAAAAAAAGAAGAAGAAGAAGAAGAAGAGCATCCAGTGCTCTTAACCACCCAGCCATTTCTCCAGCCACCGCC